TATATATATATATATATATATATATATATAGAAAGCAGTCACGGCTGTTAAAGTGCCTAGTACTATTTTTTTTTTCGTTCTCCTCTCTAGATTCGAGATTCCTATTATAGTGCATTAATAGAAGAAGAAAAAATATGAAGTTCATATTTTTTTTCTGGAGGCAAAGTAACAGTGTTAAGAAGTAACACTTTTTTTTCTCCTTCTTCTTTTTGATAAGGAAAGGGGAGAGGGGAAAAAAGAAGATGAGAAGAGGGAGAGGAGAAGCAGAAGAAAAAAAGATAGGGGACTGCAGAGGAAAAAGGAAAATGATAGGGTCAGGATCCAATTTCGAATCCCCCCTTTCATCTTTATCCTCCTAACTTACTTCATTTTCACTTTCGATAAAGTCTGATAAGATGCGTTTAAAAAAATATACATTTCTGTTCCCGTCTATAATTAAATAATAAATAAATTTAGTAGTTTCATTTATAAATTTATAAAAAAAGAAAACAAAAATTATTAATTTATAAAACGGATGAATGAATGCAACGTGTAGTTAAATAGCAAAAAAAGCCAGAAAGTGTTGTACAGCGCAGTCACACAATTAAACAATATTAATCACACATGAAAACAAACTGTGTTCAAGCGATATTACGGATCTTGGCTGTTTGACCAGTGTTTTTCAAAAGAAGGGTAACCCTCTGACAGTAATAAAACTTGACACAGAAAAAAATGTGCGAGAAAAAAGGCACAGAAAAAATAGGAATGGCTTTTAGTTTCATACAAACACAAAATATAATTAATATTTGTACCCCCACCTCTCCAAAAAAGCAGCTATATCATACTTTTTTAGGCAAATTAATTTGTTTATTGGATTAAATAAATAAATGAAAGTGGTTGCAAAACATATAGATAAATTATGCTTCCATAGTAATTAAAACCAGGGGTCTGTCTAGGTTTTTCTGAGAGGTACCTATTTTGTGAAAATTAAAAATTATATTGAAAAATCAACACAAAAATATGGTAAAAATATGAATTATAGTTTCTTACGAGACTCAAAAATTTTTTTTTGAAGAAAAAGTACCGTTTTTCCTGAAGTTGAATTTGTGAAGGTACCGCTGAACGGTAGTAAATTTGGCTTGGACAGACCCCTGAAAACTCTTGAACATTGGGCAAAAAGACACTATTTCTGGAAAGTATTATTTCTAAAATAGTTAAATGTTTCCAAAACTATCAATATTTAGAATAAGCTTTTTTTTTATTTTTTTTTTTATAAAAAAGAATATATATTATAAATACAAAGTTTAATAATCACCACATGGGATAATAGAAGTTGCCTAATATAATAAAAGGTTTTCAAACTCATGTCATTTAAATCATATTAAAATCTCTTTTGATTGAAGTAAAAAATTTGAATTTAGCCTATTTAAAGGTTTAAAAAAAAAAAAAAAACTTTCATCTTCATAAGAAAAGGGGATAAACCATGGAAAGAAATACAAAGTTCACATTTATGGCATTTTTCATGCGGCATACCACTGAAAAATTGAAGAAAAAATATAGTTAGGTTTAAAGATTTGAAAGTAATATTCGAATACTCTTATAAATGTTGCTCGGCAATTAAGTAACGGCGTCTTGTCAAAACTTTTTTTTTTAAACCTCAACACAATGCAAATTAAACAACAGCTTAATATCACAAGAAAAACGTCTGACAAAACTTATTTTTCTATCAACCCCCCAATGACGCGAAATGAACAGGAGGAAAACGGGGCAAAAGGACGAACTCCGAAGTCCATATGGCTGCACTCATCATCATCATCATAATCGTGATCAGCAGCCTCCTACCTGACTGACTTTCGTGCGACAGCTGGCAGACCGACCCGACTTTAAAGAAAAAAAATCCGCACTCAAAGAAAAAAAAAGAAATAAAACTTCGAAGTAAAATATAAAAAGTAGACTCGCGTGGATTACGCGTGCCGCTGCGAGCTTTTATAACACTTTTTTTATAGTAAAAGTCTCCCTCTTACCAGCAAGTTCAAACAAGCAAAGATTTACTCCGAGATTTTTTTTCTTCTTTGGGGGGACTATGTCCTTTTTTTTGCAGTTTTATACATGGTAATTAATGCTTCATGCCTGTTTGAAATGGGGAGTTCTAGCAATGCATAACCTTGCTTTTATAAAACCCCTCTTCCAAGAAGGTTATATCAAGACAAACTCTTCCCCTCGCCATTTTTTTTTTTAAATGTTTATGCAGCTACTTCTTTAATTCAAAATAAGATTGCCTATTTCTTATTCAATATTACAAAACAGACAAAGATTTCATTTACAAAAATACATAAATAAAAATAACGTAGATAAGTAAACAAAAATTTATTTGTTTTCACTGAAAACTTTTGAAATACTGGCGTAAAATAATTTTAACTCAACAAATTTACTTTACTTATTATTATTTTTATATTATATTACATTTTAATATTATATTATATTTATTATAATAATTTTCATTTATAATAATTTTTATCAAGCATAATTATTTTTATTATTATAATTATTTTTTAAAGAAAAAAGGGAGAAAAATAATATTTTAAAACAACCATTTTATAAATACCGCAAAATCGAAATACTTATTATCTATAGCCCTATTTGAAACTTTTGAATAAATTATAATAAGCGAAATATTTTTAAGGGATAGAGAAATAATTTTACGGCCGCTATACAAAAATTAAAATCATAAAATCAAAGCACAACATTAAATGAAATTGAATATGACAGGTAAACTTGAACTATCCTTATAACAAAAAAACTATTTATAAAATAATTTCTTGTGTTTAAAATAAAAAGAATGTCAAATGTGAACTTACCAGCTATCCTTAAGATAGCAAGAGTGTATAGCACCAGTAGTAACATAGGGTGTTGCATTAAAACTAGAATGCGGAAAGCCGACTCTTCCAGCCACTTTTGACCTAAAATAACATTAAAAATAAATTAAAAATTATGACACATAATTAAATAAAACATTAAAAAAAATTCCAAAACATATTCTAATTTCTCAGAAATGATTAACTCATTCTAAATTTCCAAAAATACATTTTGTTAGTAATAAAAGCTTTAACAAATTTTTTATTTTATAACCGTTGTTGAACAGCCGACTCAATGTTTTGGGCTTACGACTACTAATGTTCAACTCCGTAGCCTTGTAATTTTGAACCCAATCCAGAAGACAAGGGAACTCCTGGATCAAATATTGGGAGACATTTGCCTTCTTGGAGGACTTTTTAAAGGAACTAAAAACTACCTACAATTATCCCCACAAACGCAGAGATATTTCGCCCATATCAAATTATATCGCCTATTTTAATTTGTCGTCAACCAGATTTGTCGTTTTAATTTGTTAAAACCAGAGGATCTGCTGAAATAGCTTATACATATCAAATTTTAGGTATTTAAATCTTAGTTTTATTAAGTTATCTTTATAATCTTTCTTATTAAGTTATCTTAAATCTTAGCTTTATTAAGTTATCTTAAGTAGTCTTTATAATGAAACATAATTACCTCTAAAATTTTTCGAATGATTCAAGTTTCATATTTCAAAATCACTTATTTTTCAAAACACTTAAAANGAACTGAAAAAAAAAAAAAAAAAAAAAATTACGAAAACGTGCCAAAATCGTTCACAATTGTAAAATTCAAAATTGAAAACCTGTCATTTTACTTACTATTATTTCTTAATTTTTTAAAATGAAAAAAAAAAAATGAATATAAAAATTGATACTTAACATCCATAAAGCTTTAAATGAAGTGCNCTATCCTTAAGATAGCGAGAGTGTATAGCACCAGTAGTAACATAGGGTGTTGCATTAAAACTAGAATGCGGAAAGCCGACTCTTCCAGCCACTTTTGACCTAAAAAATAACATTAAAAATAAATTAAAAATTATGTCACACAATTAAATAAAACATTAAAAAAAATTTCCAAAACATATTCTAATTTCTCAGAAATGAACTCATTCTAAATTTCCAAAAACACATTTTGATTGTAATAAAAGTTTTAACAAATTTTATATTTCATAACCGTCGTTGAACAGCCGACTCAATGTTTTGGGCTTACAACTACTAATGTTCAACTCCGTAGCCTTGTAATTTTGAACCCAATCCAGAAGACAAAGGAACTCCTGGATCAAATATAGGGAGACATTTTCCTTCTTGGAGGACTTTTTAATGGAACTAAAAACTACCTACAATTATCCCCACAAACGCAGAGATATTTCGCCCATATCAAATTATATCGCCTATTTTAATTTGTCGTCAACGCAGTTAAAACTAGAGGATCTGCTGAAATAGCTTATACATATCAAATTTTAGGTATTTAAATCTTAGTTTTATTAAGTTATCTTAATAATGAAACATAATTACCTCTAAAATTTTTCGAATGATTCAAGTTTCATATTTCAAAATCACTTATTTTTCAAAACACTTAAAAAAAAAATTACGAAAACGCGCCAAAATCGTTCACAATTGTAAAAGTCAAAATTTAAAACCTGTCATTTTACTTACTATTATTTCCTTAATTTTTTAAAATGAAAAAAAAAATTAATATAAAAATTGATACTTAACATCTATAAAGCTTTAAATGAAGTGCGATTGCCATATCTCTAAGAAAATACTTCTAATTTTAAGTTCGAACACATGTATTCAAGTGTAATTAAAATGTATTTTAACTCAGTACAATTATATATTTTACATTCTCAACTAATAATCAAAGATTAAAACACTGTTTTTGCTTCTTTTTCCCCTTTTTTTAAAACTAATTCCGTTAAAGAACGTAGTAAATGCGTTATTAAAAAGATAAAAAAAAAGTGTGTATATTGAAACAAAGTAGTCAAGGTGGCACCCTTATCAGACGGCGGGATAGACCTAAAAAATTCTAGACAGAAAGAAAAACTAGAAGAAAAAGAAGAAAATGTCAGTTAGCAAGCCAAGCAGTAGTGGCAGCCAAGGAGCTAAATCCAGACTAAATGCATCAACAGTGGAGAGTTGGAAAAAAAAGAACTAACTAGCATTGACTCTTAGTTTACGAGAAGAAAAATACTATATATCTAACTAAATAGAGGCATTGAGACGATTTTTGGGGAAAACAACTTTTACGAAACCTTGAAGAAATTTAAAAGAGATCGTTGCTGAACGGAAAGAGAGAATATTTAGGAAAATTTTAATACATTTCGTGAAACACTAAATAACAATTCTATCGTAACTAAATTAACAAATATAGAAGAGAAAATGGTGTAATTTGGTTAAAAAAGCACAGAAAAATTAATGATTACTTTTAGTGAGAGCCCTCAAATACTGCACAAATGAAGTGATAAATGAAAAAAAAAAAAAATTCGTTGAATAATTACAAAGAAGATAAAGTAAGAGACAAAACTTAGAAAACAAATGTATTTATAAAAAAGTCAAATTCGTTAAATAATTATGATTAAAAGGAAGCTTGCGTAACAGACAAACAATGACCTATAAACCATAACAAATGTTTACTTAATTAACAAAAGAAATTCAGACATAATTATGATTACAAAGAAGCTTTCTTAGCAGACAAACAATGACCTTGTAAACCATACAAATTATTCTATAATTAATAAAAAAAAATTTGAATAATTATGATTACAAGGAAGCTTTCGTAACAGGCAAACAATGACCTTAGAAATTCCACAAATGTATTGAAAAAAACAAAAGAAATTCATTAAATAAATATGATTCCAAAGTTGAACAACATAAATTATCTTTCATTATATTTAAGAGCATTAGTTGTAAAATAATGCATTTTATTTAATGAGAGTTAAGAAAAATTATTTTCATATATATAGAGAGATTTTTTTATTAAATTAAAAATTTACAGCCAACTTTTACAAAGGTTTTTGAACTTCTAAAAATTCAATTTTGAACTTAAAGTCTAATGTCGGTTAGTTCAGTTTAATTTCTGTTAAAGGTAAAATTAAGAGAGTAATCCTTTGTAAATTTCATTAAGTACAACTTTTAAAATCACAGATGGTAAAATTTTTATTAAAAAAAAGACACCATTTGTCAAATATTGAGAAATCATTAATTTTCTACCTTCTGTCATTTTATCTTTTAACTGCATATTTATCTCCTTAACCTATAACATAATCTCTGTCAGATAAAATCATTTATCCTACTAATAAAATTGTACCAATTTAACCCCAAAATGATTATATTTTTAAAAAAAATTTTTTTACCATTTGTGATTTCAAACGTTGTTTTCATCGAAATTCAGTTACAGGGTTTTAAATAAAAAATATAAAAAAAACTTCGAAAAAAAAAAGAAGAAAAAAAAAAAACTTATATGTGAAAATTTAAATTTTTCACATATAAGTTTTTGAAATAAAATTTTTATTTCACAATCTTAAATAAAAATGTACACATTAGTTCACCGTTTACTCTTAAAGGAAACTTATTAATTTTCTGAGTCTCTTTCTTTCGCATAATAGACTACATGTTCGAAATCCCGGAAATTTGATAGTTCCTTTCACAACATCATTTAACAAGATATTTAACAAAAGTTCTTTAAATGTGGTACTGATTTCGAGAAATTTTATGCAAATCACTTATTTTTCAACACTCAACTCGGCATAAACTATAACCACTAACATAAACCATTTTTTTCCTAAAAATATTTCAAAATTTATCCATAAATCATTTTAAAAAAAAAATTATAACCAATTAAAAAAAAATATTTAAAAAAAATAAAAAGGTAGACACGATACAAATGTTGTGGAGTAGTTTTCTTAGAAAAGAGAAAGAGTAAAAAGACTACAGTTAAGGTAGATAACCGACAAGAAGGTATTTGATTAATAGCCTGAAACATTGTTTAAACAATTCCGTCTCACATGTACTGACTGCTCTTGAGATAATTTAAAAAGGGTGAAGTGTAAGAATGGAAGGAAATAAAAAAAAGCACTTTAATTCTTGGAGAATGTATTTCCCAATCACATATCAGTAAAACTAACATCCTATAGTTTCCATAGGTTGATTTCATCAGCGATAAATTTATCTAGCGCAAATGCAAATCTTCTTGACTCAGTTGTAATAAACTGTGTAGAACGGTAGTATATTATTTACTGTTTATTAGATACAAGAGAGCGCTGTAAACTGAAACCGTACAAGAATTAACCTAGTGGTGATTGATGAAAAGTGTCTAAAAGTGATTCGAAAATTTGAAGCAATATCAAAGGGGAGGGGAGAGGTAAAAAAATACTTGAAGAATTAATGCAAGAAAAACCATAGTAATATTTCCGTAACTTTGCAAAAACGAATTAGTTAAGTCATATTAAAAAACGAATATGACCAAGTAACCGTTTTAAACTGATTGCGGTACAAAAAGCGAATATTTTTAAATATTAAAACATTTTTTAAAAAGTTATAACATTAAAAATTTACATAAATAATTCAATTACTTAAAGCACGAAAAAACAACAAAAGTGCTAATAGATTCCAATATTACGTAAGCACACGGTAAGGGATGAGGGTGTTTGTGATTGGCTTAAAATGAGGGCATAAGTATGAGCAACACTTACGCAAGACCCTGAGATCCCATTATTTTCAATTTAAAAAACAAAACATGAAAAAAGGATATAACAAAATGTTAAGAAAAATTACACTAGAAAAAATTTCAAGAACAATTTTTCCCTCAAGATGTGTGAAATTAAAAATAAATAAAAAAAAGAATAAAGAGTGAACTAAAACGTACATTTTGCATTTTTGCAAAGTAACATCTTATATTTGAATTTAATCCTAAAATTCTTAAAATTAGATCACTATAATAAAAATTAAATTTCAAGCAAAAAACAAAAGGAGGGTTGTTGAGAATTACATACGCAAGCATGGAAGAAGAAATTTGCTTATATTTGCTGACAAGGGGAGGAAGCAATACTAATTGGTCAAAAACAAAT